GCAGAAAGATTCCGGTGCCCCCACCGGGACACGAACCGGCAACCTTCTTGCTGCGAGGCAACAGTGCTACCAACTGCGCCACCTTGCAGCCCTACTTCAAGAACTAAATCAGTCCAAAGTAAATGTACAGTAGATTGGAACTGTGATGTACTTGTCTTTTAGCAATAACATTGGCACATTATTTAAGTTTTTATTTTAGTTTTGGTAATACATTGTGTTTCTCCTTTTCTGTGTTTCCTCTCTCTCTGTCTGTCCCTTTTTGGTTACTTCCTGTTTTATTTTGAAATTGCCTTTCCTTGTGTGTCGCTTGTGTTTTGACGTCTGTTCTTTTTCCTCCCTTCTGATTTCCCTGAGAACGTTCACCTGTGTCTCATCTCCTTAGTCAGTTCTGAGAGTTTAAATAGTCTTTTCTGTCAGTCTGTCATGTTTGTTACCAGTTTACTGCTCTCCTGTTAAACCTCCTGTTCATCAGCCTCTGGTTTGTACATTTGTTTTTTTATTGTTTGCCACAGTTTATGGCATAAACTTTATGCCATGCCTTTGTTGTTTTGGTTTTTTTTCTTTAGTTTTTGCATAATATTTGCCGGATGCCCATGTTCTTGATTTATCTGGACTGTGGTTTTTCTTTTTGGATCAACTTTTTGATTAAAGTTTACTTTTTGTTCCTTTAATACGTGTCGTTGGTGTCTGCATTTCACTCAGCAGTCCATGACATTTTCAAGTGCCAGAACAGCTTTTCTACGATTTCATTTTGCAGACACTTTTTTATCCAAAGCGACATACATCTGTAGTGTAGATACGACACAAGCAAGGATCTAGTCTGGAGAAAACCACCTGGATCAGTGCCATAGAACAAATTCAAGCATGACCAGGCGTTGATGCCAATAGCAAGCTATGTGGGAGGTTATGGGGAAAAGTTTTTTTTTTTTTAAGTCAAGTACAAAGGTTTTTGGGGAAGAGGTCTTTAGTCTTTTCTTAAAGACTGAGAAGGAATCAGGGGATCGAACAGAGTTTGGTAACTCATTCCACTCAATCCTATAGACCAGATTCCATAAAGACAACTTTTGGGGGAAAAAAAACAATCAAAAGACTGTATAACAAGAACAGAACAGCATGACTCAGATCTGCAGAGTGAAACTAAACAGAAGCCTGTCCTGAGGTCTTGGTACCAGAACATTCAAACACTGATTTTAAAGTGGAGTCTTAAACAGTCAATAGACACGAGAGGTCAAACTTCATCTGGGTCTTATGAGGACAGTTTATGTGCGTAGCTGAATAGCGTCATGTTTTTTGTTTTTTCTCTCAAAGTATTAACATATCCATGCTTAGAACGGTAAATGTATTCGATTTATCTCTTATGTTCGTGTCCTTGGTTACTGTAAACAAAGGCAGCTGGACATTAGACTGCTGCAAGTGTGTCAACAATCAATTCTGCAAACAGATCAGTTGTACAAACTGGGCATTAAAAAGTAGTCCTTTGACCAGCTTGCATTTGCAGAACCGCCTCTTTAGCTGTAGTCGTGCTTCAGAATCTGTCTTCCTCTGCAGAGATTCAGCAAAACCAGACGATGGCAGTCCATTTGATTTTGTTGGGTCTGCTCTCCCTCTGTAGCCTTTCCTTCAGTCAAGGTAATGCATACATGTATTATATTGACAGGACAAAGTGGATATTGTTACTCATGTTTGATCACATGTACGAGACTTTATTTCACCACTAACACGTGTTGTAACATGTCTCTGTTTTTAATGTCTTCAGAATGTAATCAAGCGCTCCAGGTGAACGTGGATTTTCCTGGAACAGACATAGCATTTCAGTACTCTCCTGATGTGCAGCACTGTCAGCTGCTGTGCACCCAGCACCCCTCCTGCCTCTTCTTCACTTTCGTCCGGGCTGATTGGACCAGAGATGGCCGGTAATATTACTTCAGTGTTTGTGAAAAGTGATGTGTTGTGTTTAAAGGCCTTCAGAAAACAAAGCACTGAAAGTAAATCTGGAACTGTGTAAAATTTGAACAAAGCCAAACCCACTGTCATAAGCAAATATATTACCAAGATTATTGGTGTTTTTATTTTTTTAAATCCAGAGCTATTATACTTCCAGAAGTCATAAAAGGTTAAATATTACTTAACTAAAACTTTTGTCTGATTATGCAATGATATTGTGATCGCTTATTGATATATTTATCTAATCATAATAAATTACTTACATGAAAGTTCATGTTTATGTATTTTAAGGGTAAAGCGGATCAGTGCTTTCAGTACTGTGCCGTGTATGTTACATAATTGGGGTCAAAAATCTAACATTTTGGTAGACGTATGTTCCATCTGGTGTGAAGCTAATACTGCCTCCCACAAGAACAACACGATACCATCAGTGAAACGTGATGGTGGTGGTGTGAGGGTTTGGGGCTGTTTTGCTTCCACAGGACCTGGACAACTGATCATAATTGATGGCGCCATGACTTCTGCTCTCGATCAGAAAATCCTCCTGGAGAATATCCACCCATTGGTTCGTGACCTAAAGCTGAAGCACAAATGGATTATGCAGCATGATAATATTGACTCAAAGCACACAAGCAAGTCCACCACTAAATGGATCAAAAAGAAGGTTTTGGAGTGACCGAGTCAAAGCCCGGACTTGCTTCTAATTGAGATGCTGTGACAGGACCTTTTAAAAGGGCAAAAACCATCTAATGTGGCGGAATTAAAACTATTCTGCAGGGAAGACTGGGTCAAAAATTCCTGCTTGGTGATGTAGAAGACTGATCACAAGTGATCGCAAACGTTGCTCCCAAGGGTGACCCAGGAAGTGGTTTGGTCACGTTTGGCAGCAACAACGTTTGCAATAGCTTTTTTTTTTTCTTACAGTGGTGATAGTTTTTTTTTTTTTTTTTTTTAATGAATCCTCAATAAGTCATCTTTTAAGAACTGCGTTTGTGGGTTATCTCTGTCTAATATTAAACAAATATAAATGTTAGTTTGATCTGGAACATTTAAGTGTTAGAAATATGCAAAAAATAGAAGATATAAGCAAGGGGGTAAATGGCTTTCATGGTTTCAATGGTTTCACATCACTGTACAATCACACACACAAACACACACATACATATATATAAACACCTCTTCCCCTTCTGCAGGCACTTCTACTGCTACCTGAAGTCCACTCCCACTGGGCGGCCCAATGTTCAGACTCCACTAGTGGGTGTCACCTCTGGCTATTCTCTCAAACCCTGCAGCCAAGGCCAAGGTGAGCTCACAACCATTCCCAAACCATTACAGAAGCTTTTTCATAATGTAAGGTTTCATCCTCTTTATCTTTCGCTGTCTGTGTTTCTGTTGTCAGTAAAAGAACCATGTCTGTCTGAGGTGTACCACGATGTGGACTTTCCGGGTGCAGACTACAGATTCCTGTTCACAGCTGACTATGAGGAGTGCCAGAGAGTCTGCACTCAGGACCCCTCCTGTGAATTCTTTACTTTTGCAAATGGAAGTTTTTCAGTGGAGACAATTAGGTAAATGTGAATCACATAATATGACGTTGCAGTTTTAAATTGTATCATCTGTCATTGTTTTTAAGACACATTTTTTTGAAATGATTAATCTTATAATGTTTTAATCCCTCGACGCTAGGTGCAAGAAGCTTAATTTGTTTCTATTAAATTCTAAAGGTCCACTGCTGTGTATGGCTCAGCTGAGAGAAGTTAGCCTGTGAAAGTTTAACACGTCAGGAAAAGGGAACATGACATGCAAAAAAAAAAAGAGAGCCATTAATCTAGAAATTGAGTTACATGTCACTCCTGTAATTTAGTATTTCTCTTCCATATGCACCACAGACAGATTTTTTTTTTTTTTAAAAAGGAGAAGGAAGCTCCAAAATTTTCCCAAATTCTACTTGACAGAATCTTTTGTTGCTGTCTTTCTAGCTTCATGCTTACAGTTTGCTTTCTATTTAAACATGCTTGCTTCCATTCCAAGCGTGTGTAACTGTACAATGTTACTGTTAAATCCATCCATTAGCCACACCTGCTGCTTTAGAGTAGAGTGCGGGAGCCTTTGCCGGATGACGCTGGGTGAGAGGTGGTCTGCACTCTCAATGGTCCATCACGCAGCATAAAGAAATGCACAACCATGCATGCTTATACCTACAGCCAAACTAGAATCCCCAAATAACCTAGTATACATGGACTGTGGGCGGAAGTCGGCGCGCCAAGAGAAAACCTTCGAAGGTTCCAGCCGACCAGTAGGTTTGAACCCAGAACTGTCCGATGATCCACAGTGTGACCTCGTTCAAATAACGTACCAAGGCATCCTGAGTCGACACATTTAGCTCTGGCATCAGCGGCTAAGTGGAGTGTTGTTATAGCCCCTATCACTTATTAATTGTCCAATTTCTTGTTCTGTTTTAGGCACAAGTGTCACCTTAAGTTCAGCTGGACTATACCAAGGACTCCTATTGTAGAAAGAACGGCTGGTGTGACATCTGGATTCTCCCACAATGCACAAATGACGACTCAGATCTATGACGCAGGTACACAAACAGTCACAACCAGAGTCATAGATCTGTGGAAATCTCCTGTAGGTGGTTGTGCCTGTTCTCTTACTGTATTAATTATATTTTATACAGTGTGTCAGAGCAAACTGTTTCCCGACACCGACATCGCAGGACAAAACGTCCTGGTCGAACGAGCTGCCTCTCCTGAACAGTGTCAGGCTCTGTGCTCCGCTCATCCAACCTGCACCTACTTCACTTTTGTCAGGTAGTGTGTGTTTGACACAATGTCTCAGAGTGAAACAAATATTTAAAGAGTCCAATGAGACTTCAGCAAGTAGTAAAGCGCTGCATTATATTTGTCTATTCTTTGTCCCGGCGTTGTTATCCTAACTGTCGTGATGTTAATTCAATTTTACTGATTTTGCAGGAGTACTTTCAGTTGTAACTTGAAGAAAAACCCAGACAAAATGGTGACCACAGCAAGAAATGGATACACATCAGGCCTGCCAACACACTTCTGCCAGCCTGATAACAGTATGCACCACTAATCAACACCAAACCTTTGAGAAAGGATCGTGATATGTGACACTCTTATTCTAGATTTGGTCAGTCTCCAATCAAGCGTCAATTTTAATTCAGCAGAAGTGTAACCCTGTTCATCTGTTAACAGACTGGCTGAAGGTGGCTCACGAAGGAGTAGATTTCCGAGGTTCTGATATTCGCTTCGAGCTCATGGATAATGCAGAAGAATGTCAGAGGACCTGTACCGATGATCCGAACTGCCAGTTCTATACCTATGTCACCAAGAACTTCCGTGACAGGAATTTTTGGTACAGTATTTCCTCCTTGTGCATCCACTTTTTTTTTTTTTTAAATAGCTAATAATATCCATTGTATATCTGGTGCTTGATTTGAAATGTTTTTTTTGTGTTGTAGGCGTCGCTGCTATGTGAAGCGTGTCATCACCGTACCTTCTCTACCCAAAGTTACCAAACTGAACAACGTCGTGTCCGGATTTACCCTGAAGAAGTGTCTCCTGATTCCAAAATCACATGTTTAAATAAATTATGAAGGAGAAACACAAATATAATCCAGTCAAAGACAAAAGATTCTACACTAAACAACTGCTGTGGTTGAGTTTGGTTACATGTGGGAGTGGAAATTCCCCATTAAAACTGTTTAATGTCAGTATTGCCTTTCATCGTTTCCTTATTCAGTTCTCATGTACCTTTGGTTCACTCTTCCCGCTGACATTCACAGAAGGGAGGTTGCTCCGGCACGGTGATGTTCTTCTCAGCCAGGAACTGTGGGATGCTCAGGGCATTGTGAGCAGTCACGACTTGTCCTGCCACAACTCTGGCCTTTTCTCGCGCACTGAACGAAACAAGCGCTGCAGGATCTCTTTGTAGACGTGCTGGTTGATTGTCTGAAGGGGAAAACTTGTAGTTTGTAGTTTGAAATATCGCTTTTGTGACACCAGTCCTGGAACTTCTTGACACACCTCGTACATGAGTGCAGTAACCATAAAGACTCTGAAGGAATTTCCGAGTGTCTCTGTGAACAACAAGCATCCTCCCCTTAATACGTGGAGAGCTCCTGTGCGGCTTCATAGCTTCCTAATGAAAAGATGTGGCGCATCAATCCAGGTGAATAAGCCGTTAGTGAGAACAGACCTCAATCCTGAGCTTCACTCCTCATCACATCATCTAGGTTTCACCCATAATATACAAGGCTGAGTCTACATGTGAGTCCACTAAAGAGAGCATGTGGTTCTTTCAGTTTCTCACCGTGTCTGTTGAGGAAATGTTTGAGCAGTCTGGATACTGGAAGTCCAACAAAAACACCAAAGTTTTACAAAGAGTGTTCCACAGGATTGCAGACAAGGAGACGCATCTACAATTCTGCAATTTCATTTAGCAGACGCTCCTATCCAAAGCGACGTACATCTGAGAATAGGTACAACAAAAGCAACGATCCAGTCAGGAGAAAACAACCTGGATCAGTGCCATAGAACAAGTTCAAGTGTGATAGGGTGTTGATGTCAATAGCAGGCTGTGTGGGAGGTTATAGGATTTTTTTTTGTTTTTTTTCTCAGTCTGTCAAGTGCAAAGGTGTTTAGTGAAGAGTTGGGTCTTCAGGCTTTTCTTAAAGACTGAGAGGGAATCAGCAGATCGAACAGAGTTTGTTCCACCACCGGGGAACCACAGAGGAGAAGAGTCTAGCTATCGACCTCTGGCCCTGTTGTGGTGGTCGTATCGGGCATCTCAGTGTCTCACAAAGAACTGAGAGTGTTACTGTTGAGCAGGCCTTTGCAGAAGCATGTTTACACCAGCAGGTGGCAGAAACAGACATTTGCTCGACTGTGTTCACTTCAACAAGAAGGGAATTGTAGATGTCGTTGCAGAAAACCTTTTTATTAAAAGCAGTGATACTCCAAAAACAAAATTTCTACCAATTTTCAAAAGGACATGCTAACTTATTTGATATAGTTCATATCCATCCACATGAAGTGATGATAAATCTGAGACTACATGCTTGGAAAGAAAAGACTCAGGCCTGTTGCTGTTTAATTTTAGGGCCTTCAGTAATTACAAATAAATTAATCTGTCACACAGTAGAGATAAGACATGGTTCATGGGATGGTGTTGATTTAAAGCATAGGGTAAGCACTTTGATGTTTCAATCCTGCCTTAGATAAGTTCGCTGAGCATTATGAGTAAGAGTAAGCTTTTGTACTACATCCTCTTATCCTGCTGGACTTCACCCATTTTATATACAGTTGAAACCAGAAGTTTACATACACTGTACAAAAAGACATAACCTCCCCCCTTTAGCGGTATGCTTCGGGTCATTGTCCATTTGGAAGATCGATTTGCGCCCTAGCTTTAACTTCCTGGCTGATGTCTTGAGATGTTGCTTCAATATTTCCACATAATGTTCTTTCCTCATGATGCCATCTATTTTGTGAAGTGCACCAGTCCCTCCTGCAGCAAAGCACTCCCACAACATGATGCTGCCACCCCCGTGCTTCACAGTTGGGATGGTGTTCTCAGGCTTGCAAGCTTCCCCCTTTTTCCTCCAAAATGTAACGATGGTCATTATGACCAAACAATGAAATTTTAGTTTCCCTCTAGTTTTCCTCCAGAAATGAAGGTCTTTGTCACTAATGTGCATTTGCAAACTGTAATCTGGCTTTTTTATGTTCTTTATGGAGTAATAGCTTCTTCCTCTCTGTATATTCTTTCAGCCCATGTCGGTACAGGCCTTGTTTAACTGTGGATAACGACACTCTCTTACCAGTTTCAGCATCATCTTCAAAAAGTCTTTTACTTTTGTTCTGGGGTTGATACGCACATTTTGCACCAAAACATGTTCAACTCTTGGACACAGAACCCGTCTCCTTCCTGAGCGGTATGATGGCTGGACATTCTCATGGTGTTTATACTTGTGTATAATTGTTTGATCAGATGAGCGTGGAACCTTCAGGCATCTGGAAATTGCACCAAAGGATGAACCAGATTTGTGGAGGTCCACGATTCTCTTCCTGATATCTTGGATGATTTCTTTAGATTTTCCCATGTTGTCATAAAAGGAAGCAGTGTTTTTGAGGTGTGACTTAAAATACATCCACAGGTGTGTCTCCAATTAACTCAAATGTTGTCAATAAACCTATGAAAAGCTTCCTAAGCCATGAAATCATCACCTGGGCTTTCCCTAATAGCTTGAAGGCATAGTAATCTTAGTGTATGTAAACTTCTGACTTCTGTTATATGTCTCATCTGTTCACTGCAGTGTCAAGGTGGAAATGCTCAGCCATGCTGCTTGTTTCATTCATGTCTTGGAGATTTGAAAAACACTATTTGAACTTTTTAACAAGGTAAAACAACAACAACTAACTATCTTCTCCTTTAAGAGAGTCTTTATCGTAAACCAAAAAAAAAAACAGAAATTCTTTATCTCAACTTGGGCTTGAGATGGAATATTTCTGACGTGAATTAGTTGAAAGAAGTGAACATGTCTGCACAGGCAAGAATTTTAAATAACGAAATTTTGCTACAAACTCATAATCATGGATCCGAGGATGTGATGACCTGATGTCAAGCAATGCCATCAGTTAAAGAAGTCAAAAAAGAAACTGGCCAACGTTTCATCTCCTGAAGAACTCTGTGCTGGAGAGACAAACAGACTCCAGACAAGTGATCAGGTGAAAGATTCAGCAGTGATGTAAGGCTGAGTTTACTTACAGAACATGAGAAAAAATGTTCTCTTTTTCCCCCCCAACCATCTCACTTCAGCCCTCCTCCCTGCATACTGAGCCCTCCTCTTTTCCTCGTCCAGCTTCTACCATATCCCCCTTCCCCTGTCAAACACAACGGCACTTCCCTCCTTCTTTCTCCGCCGTTCCTTTCCCTCCTTCCTCCCAGCTCCCTGCAGCCTCCCCTCCCCCGTGGGAAACCCAGCGCAGTGTGACTGTGGTTGTCCTTCCTGGAAGCTGTGGTGGTGACTCTGGCTCCTCTGCTCAGAGGCTAGAATAGTGCCATCCAGCCTTGTGTGTGTGTGTGTGTGTGTCTGTTTGTGTGTTGTCTGTGTGCATCTGTGTGTGTGTGTGTGCGCTCGCACCCTCCACAAACATTCCACCACCATACCGTCCGTCCAACCGCCGGCCGGCCTCGCACGAGAGCCACGCCGTCACCGCGGTTCAGTCCTGACGCCAGCCCTGAATACTCACATTACACACACACACACACGACTTGTGTGCACACCACATAAACAAAACACTCGACAAAAGCGCGCACACACACGCACACACACACACGTGGAGCAGGACAGAGCATGAGACTGGCTTAAGCACACACAAGCACACTCACTCAAATAAACAATATGCACTTTGCGGAACACACACATTTTTTGGACCGCAGACCACAGACATTGCATCCTGAAGTAGATCAAAGCGTTCTCCAGCAGTAAACACACACCAGGCTCTTCTCCGCTCTCTCATCCCCGCCGAGCGCCTTCTGGTGAAGCATGGCACAATTATGCTGATCTTCTTGAGAAACAACTCGTCGCAACTGTCATTCATCATTGTTCAAGGGGTCTCTTGTGCACCCTTGTACACGCTGGCCAACTCTCTGTGATTCACACTCCTTCTCCTTGTGTCCTTTTCAACCCCCTCACAGTCCCTCTCATCTCCCCATTAACCCTGTCTCCTGCCTCCCTCCCACCCTGTTATTGAACGTCTACGCCGAATCAGTCACCCAACCACAGCTCCTCAGATCTTTTCCTTTTGTTTTCCCCTCTCTCGCTCGCTCTCTCTCTCTCTCTCCATCCCTCCCTCTCGCCCTCGTCTTTTCTGTCTGTCCATTGTTGAGGAGACAGTGGCGCAGACAAACAGGGAGAGAAGATATCCGCTGGTGTACCACAAGATTGGAGAGAAAGAATGGCAGAGAGACAGCGGAGGAGAGGAAGATACATAGGCTGATATGAGGGTAAAGTTAATTACAGGGGACTGCCAATTAGAGGGCAAAGTGATGGGTCTGTTTGCCTCGCCGCGGCATCCCAAAAACATCACCATCTCCCACCATGTTTATCCTCAGCAGCCACAAGACCACAGCTCCCATCAGCCATCACTGGAGACAGCTTAGATACCGAAGGGGGGTTACGGCTGGGGAACATGCAGGCAGTTGTTTGGAGACATGGCAAATACGGATAAATGTGTCCTCTGTTTTTTTCTTTTTTAACCATTCCTTTGCCATTTGTGTTGACGGCAGATCAAACAGCTGCAATTACACGTTCGCATTTACTCGTACAGTCAGTGAGGGGGGAAAAAAAGCAGAGAAAACATGAAGCAACGTTAAAGGCACTTAGTCTTTATAGTCAAACATTCTTCAGAAAAGGAAAATTAATCAAATGTATAAATGTTTTGGAGGGGGAAAAAAAAAAAGAAAGATCACAGTCCAAAGATCAGCAAAAACTCAACCTCCCTCTGTTGAGCGTTAGACTGGATATATGGCTCTGTTGGACACGCTTCTATTCGTTTATTCAAACCTTCACATTCCTTCATTACTCCTTTATATACTGTATGATTGCTATATTCTGAAACTTCACCCACAGTCTGATATGGCTTTTAGAGTCCCTCAAAAGCAGAGACAATCATCAAAGGTTCAACACTTCTTTCTCCAAAAGGTACA